CTTGCCTGTTCTTTCCCCAGCTGGCCGGAGGCGTGATCCTGGGTGTGGCCCTGTGGCTCCGCCATGACCCCCAGACCACCAACCTGCTCTACCTGGAGCTCGGAAACAAGCCTGCACCCAACACCTTCTACGTCGGTGAGCCCCCCGGGGGTCTGGCAGGAGCTCAGCGAGGCCACAGACAGGCGGTCGGGGGCTTCCACGAGGAGGTGGGGCCCACGTGGTCTGGCAGGGCACCTGGGTATAGGCCACAGGGGTGGGGGAGCTCCCCGGGCCTGTGGGGTCAGGTCAGCCTGGGGGAGGCACTGGGGCCTGGGTCCCCCCACCTCTGGGGGCGGAGCCAGGGCCAGAGGGCAGCAGCTGAGTGGGGGAACTATGTCCGGCCGGCCACGGGTATTTTGGGGAAGGCTCCCAGGCTGGGTGGGGTCGGATGCCTGGGCAGCCAGGCCAACAGCTGAGGCGGGAGCCTGACCAGAGTGTCGGGGGAAGGGGACTTGGGCCCCAGGAGGGAGAGTGGGGCCCAGGGACGCCGACCACCCACAGTCACACCTCACTGCTTCCTGAGGCTGCCGGTCAGCCCCCAGGGCACCAGCTGTGCCCCCTGGGCGTCTGTCAGGCTGGGGTGATGGGGTTCCTGCGCCCAGCCCCCCCAGGGCAGGGTGACCCCGGAGCAGGGCCAGCTTTGCAGAGCAGCACCCTCCCTGCACCTCGTCCCAGCCAGCGGGGGCGGGGCCTGGCTTGGCACTCTGGCTGCAGGAGCAAGAGCAAGAGCTTCTGCCCTTTAAAGGAATGGCCCCTGGGCCCACCCCCCTCACCCCACCCCAGGGCCTGCCTAGGGAGTGGGTGTGCAGCTCCAGGGCCTCGGCTGGCTGAGCGAGGAGGGTGCTGAGCTTGAGGTCGGGCTGGCTGGGGCGGGGAGGCTGCTCACTGCTCCAGGCCACGGCTGGGCTGAGGCCAGAACAGGCCCCGGGCTCCAGCTTGCTCAGCGTCAGGGGTGGGTCCTCATGAGTGGGGGTGTCAGGGCCTGAGGGGAAGGGCATGGGCTTGAGGGCTGTGCCCCATGGGCGAGGCCCGAGGGTGGACATGGCAGGAAGTGTCCCTTCCGCCTGCTCCGCTCTGTGCTGCCCGAGGCTTTGTCTGTTCTGGGTGATTCCAGAGCTTGGCAGTGGGTCCTGAATGCCAAGCCCCCGTCCCTGGGGCAGGCCGGTGGTGGGGGCACTCAGCACTGAGCACTGAGAGCCGAGAGCCGGATTCCCAGCTCTGGAGGAGCTTGGGGCTGCCAGAGGCCTGGGGGCCCCTGGAGGGATGCACAGGGGACCATCTACGGGGACAAGGGCACCAGGAAGGGTGGCCTGGCCAGGCCGGAGCCTGGGCCCTTGGTGCCCCCTCTCCCCAGGCAGCCCTTCTGCCGCCTCACCCCACATGCCATCGCCGCGGCCACACCCCACCCTGGCAGCGGGCCTGGCCGCCCGGCCCCCAGCCTCTGGGCAGCCTCGTCCCGTGGGCTCTGCCTCCAGAGCGGGGCCTCAGGGGCAGAGGGTGAGCCTTGGGCTCCAGTCCACAGAGCAGCTGCTCGGAGCGGCTGGTCCAATCCCTGCCCACGAGTGGGTGCTGTGCGCCACTGGCAGGGGGTGGCAGAGAGTGCCCCAGGATCCCTAGGCTGCTCCCCTGCACCCCACCCCCAGGCCAGCAGCTGGGCCTTCCCCTCCATGGCACCAACACGGGGTGGTCCTTCCCAGCCCCCCACGTCCCAGAGGCTTGTGGGAAGCAGACTGGGGCAGCTTGCAGCGCTGACCCAGGGAGAGACGGCCCCCACAGAGCTCTGACGCTCCCGCCCCCCGTTCTCTGAGCACTTGTGCGAGTGCCAGTCGGTGCCCCGAAGAGAGGCACTGGGAGAGCCCCCTCTGTCCTCGGGCGTCTGGCCCCTCCCTGGGCAGCAGGGTGTGTGTGCGGCTGGCTGGGGAGAGTTCTGGGGTGGGGGGCAGGGGAGAACAGCCCCAGATGTCCCTGGCCAGTGGTCACTGAGGTGCCGTGGCCCCTCCCCCTGCAGGCATCTACATCCTCATCGCCGTGGGCGCTGTGATGATGTTCGTCGGGTTCCTGGGCTGCTACGGGGCCATTCAGGAGTCGCAGTGCCTGCTGGGAACGGTAGGTCCCGGCAGGGCAGACCCGGGGCTTGGGTGTCATCTGCAGGGGGTCAGGAGCTCAGGCGCCCCAGAGGCGGTCTGGCCCTGGAGGCGGGGTCACAGCAGCCCAGAGACCTCTCCTAGAACATTCGCCTCCCTGCTCGGTCCTTCCATGCAGTTGGTTGCTGCTGTGTCCAGGACCTGAGTCCAAGTTCCAAAGTGGCTTTTTTGTTTTTTTAAAAAGCCCCAGGTGCAATAAATTAGGGAGTGGGTTCCCGACCCCAGGTGTCCCTGTCGTGTCCCTACGTACGGGTGTGAAGCCGGAGCCTGGCTGTGGCATTTGGGGCCTGGCCAGCCGGGAGGCATGGGCTGTGGGGGTCTGTGCCAGTGTCTCTGTGGAGACACCCACGGTGACACCGAGGCCCCCCCAGTAACCCGCTTCCCACCTGCTGAGCTCTGGCCACAGCCTCTATCTTTGCTGCTCCACCCTGCAGAGCTCAGCCCCTGGGGACAACGGGAGCGTCAGGCCAGGCCCTAGGCTCTGTGCCTCTTGGCTCCATGTGGCTCATCCCAGGCGGGATGTGGGTGGGTGGGAACCGCCAGCCACCCCCACACACTGGTTGGTCACCTGAGATGCTGGTCATCTGGGGAAGTGAAGCCCTGAGCTGCCCCCCGCCGGCCGTCTCCGGCCCGCTCCGACCCTCCTCTCCTGTCCTCCCTGCCTGCCGGGCCCCGGGTGGCCTTTCCAGTTCTTCACCTGCCTGGTGATCCTCTTTGCCTGTGAAGTGGCTGCCGGCATCTGGGGCTTTGTCAACAAGGACCAGGTGAGCCTGGGTCCCCGGGGAGGGCCAGCCCCAGGTTGGGGCTGGAACGGGTCGGGCTGCAGAGTGCACTTTGGGGCTCCTGGGGTGGGCCTGGTGGGAAGGCCACGGAGGTCCTTCTGGAGGAGGTGGCCTGGGGACCAAGCTTGGGGCACCGGGGATGGGAAGTCTGGGCCTGCCCTGGAAGCCACCCTTTTCCTGGAGAGCCTGGTGACGGCACGCCCCCCAGGACTGGTCCTTACTCGGTGGGCCGGGTCCCTCCCCAGATCGCCAAGGACGTGAAGCAGTTCTACGACCAGGCGCTGCAGCAGGCTGTGATGGACGACGACGCCAACAATGCCAAGGCCGTGGTGAAGACCTTCCATGAGACGGTGCGAGGGGCACGGGCACGAGGGGGGGGCATGAAACGGGGCGGGGCCCAGCTGCCCTTCCATCGAGCCTCAGCTCAGACTTCAGGAGCAGGAGGGGCCCTTGGGGCCTTGCAGCCCTGCTCCTCAGAGGCCCTGGGGCTCCTCTGGGACATGCGGGCCCCTGGGGGAGCCAGGTGGGCCACCCGGCCAGTGTGCGGGGGTCTCTGAGCAGTGTGGCTCAGCAGGAGGGAGCGAGGAGGGACCGTCTCGACCCCGTGCTGGGGCAGCCTCGGGGGACTGTGTAGCTTGCTGGACGAGTGTCCTAGGCCACCTGCCCTCAGGCTGTTTCCATCACGCGAGGGGCTGACGGTGTGTGCCCTCCGTCTTCACAGCTCAGCTGCTGCGGCTCCAACGCCATGACGACGCTGACCACCTCATTGTTCAAGAACAACCTGTGTCCCTCCAGCAACAGCTTCCTGAGCAACTTTAAGGTGCGTGGCAGGGGACGGGGCTTTCCAGGGGGGGTGGGCCGAGCCCTCCTCCCTCCACAGGTCCTGGGTGGTGGCCAGCTGCCCAGGGGCTCTGGCTGGCACCAGCAGGCATGCCGGGTGGTGCCGTGGCCTGAGTCAGGGTGCTCTGCCCAGGAGCTGAGTTTTGCCAAGTGCCGGCCTGGTTCCTGACCGGGCAGCTCTCTGGGTCTGGCTGCCAGTGGGTATGGCGGGCACCCTGACCTCCCAGGTCAGTGCCCATCTGGTGCTCAGTGGTCTGGGAGCACACAGCATGCCCCTCGTCCCTGTGTGCTTTTTCACACGGGTGTCAGCTGGGCCCTGTGCACCCCTCTTCTGCGGGCGGCCGGGCCTGGGACCAGCACCTCTGACCACTCGCTGGCCATGCCCTGCAGGAGGACTGCCACCAGAAGATCGATGACCTCTTCTCCGGGAAGCTGTACCTCATCGGCATCGCGGCCATTGTGGTCGCTGTGATCATGGTGAGTGGGCTGGCCAGGGGCGGCCTTCTCAGGCCCCCATGAGCCTCCGGGTGCTGACGGGCCACCCGCCCCTCCCTGCAGATCTTCGAGATGATCCTGAGCATGGTGCTGTGCTGCGGCATCCGGAACAGCTCCGTGTACTGAGGCCTCGCCCCTCATGCCGCCGGGACCCCTGCGGCGCTCGCCGAGAGACCCGGCGTTTCTGAGGAGGCGCCCTTCCCGCCCGTGTATATGACTTTTCTGGTATTACTCTGCTACACTTATTAACCTTGTTACTTTGGAGGTTTTGTTTTTGTCCTGAAGCTCCCTCATTACCTTTGGGGGCTGACGTCACCCGTAGGTGGCATGTGAGTGGGCCCTGGGGAACGCAGGGCAGGGTCCCCTCTGCCTCTGCGGCCACTCGGGGGCTCTGCCTGCTCTGCCAGGGCTCTCCAGGCACCTTCCCCCCGCCCACCGGTCCCTGTGGGCCACAAGGCGCGCGCCTTTTTTTAATCCTTGCCCCATCCGGCCACCTGCCTCTAGAGCTGGGCCTGTGAGCAGCCTCACGCCTTCACCGCACCTGTCCTTTCTAACGCCTCACCTTTCATTGTAATTACATCTTGAGAATCATTCAATAAAGAAGAAAAACCAGGCATGCTGAGAAACCGTCGGTCCCCGCTTACACCGCAGCATTTGAGGCCGGGGGCAACGGCTCGGAGGGGCAGCACGGCCCTGCACAGGTGGGCTGCCCGCCCTGTCGGAGGACAGTGATGGGGTCCCTGGGGAGCACTCATGTGGCAAGTGACCCTCTGGGGGGCCCTGTGCCTCCTAAAGCATCCTCCCCCCAGCCTCACACCCACTCCTGCTCCTACGCATCCCTGCCTGGAGGGGGCAGGAGGGGTTGGGGCAGAGAGCCAGGTGTGGGATGTGCTGGAAATGGCCTTCAGCATGACTTGCCTTCCTCCCTGGCAAGGAACAGCTCCTCCGCAGAGGGTGGTCACCCCTCCCAAGTGTCTCCTCACTCCCTGGGTGGCTCCTGCCAAGCTGTATCTCCCAGGGCTGGAGGGGGGGTGGGTTTCAGCCACTGCCTGGTGGAGTGTGCCTGCCCAGCCACAGCCGGCTCTTGCATCAGGCCACTGCCCCCCTGGGGAATGCTGGGTGATGTCATCCTGAGCCTCCTGCAAGCACCTGCCCGTGTGAACTTTAAATTGATCCCCTGAGGCCACAAGGGCCCCCTGGGAGCTGATTTTGGAAACCAACCCGAGCCCTGCAGTGGGGGGTCGTGGAGTCTCAGCAGGTGTGCCCCTACACAGCCTGTGCCAGGGCGGGTTGTTGGGAGACAGGATGACCCAAGGGACCTCCTCCTCTTGACTTCCTCTATGCTCAAGGGCCCCAGGACATCCTGCAGTGTTAGTGCTGGGGGTTCAGCGGAGGGCCTGGGGGCACTTAGGAATGAGACGTCCCAAGGTTACAGGGAAGAACAGGCCTGAGCCTTGGGTTCCCCGAGCACACCAGACGGCAGCTCTGGGAGAGGGAGCAGGCGAGGTCAGGCTGGGGCCGAGCCACATGGACTTTGTGGGCATGAAGCGACCAGCGAGCCCAGGCAACTGCTCCCAAGCTGGGTACAGCGGCTTCGCCCTGGTCAGCCCTGGCTGGCTCCACAGTTAAGACACACGTTCAATTACGCGCCCTCCACTCTCCAAAGACCCGGGACAAGAGCGGCCGGCCGCTTCCGGCCAGAACCGGAAGTGCTACAATGCACTTCCGCCCTGAGGGGCGGCCATTCTCACAGCTTCCAGCAGGGGGCACTGGGGCCCCCGGAACGAGGCCCTGATTATTAGCCCCTGCGCATTCTGGGAGTCGCAGTCCCGTCTTCCCCACCCTCAGTACCCTTTAGTCAATTCCGGGCTCTTTTCGTGAAGGAGTGCCGACATTTCCGGGGAGGGGGAAACTGGAGAGAGCGCGTGCGCAAGGATTACACGTCCCGATAGGCCTCGAGGAATAGCCTGCTAGGCATGTGGGAAATGTAGTTCTTCAGGCGTGGCAGCCGTGGCGCTCGGCCGACAACGGACTCGGTTTCCCAGAGGGCCAAGCGTGACGCAAAATGGAGGCGGCCAGGCAGCAGTAATCCGGTAGGTTTGTGTGGAGGGAGGACGGCGGGGCTGGCTGGTCGCGCCTCGGGGACCCCTCCGTGTGTGCAGTCTAGTGCCCCACCTGCTCTGTGTCTCCTGTGCCTCCAGGCCTGGCCTCTGGGGCCGTGGTCTCTCTCTCGACGTGGCCCTTGAGACCCAAACCCCATGGGAAGAGCTTCCTGGGCCAGGCTCTGGGCAGATCAGTGCAGAATGTCAGGCTATGCTTCCCAGGGGGACAGAGTAGAAAGAGGCTGGGGGTCCTGCACCCTGGGGTCTGGCCTGCCCATACCCTCAGCGTGCCTCCGTCCCCAGCCCCATGTCCTGGACGAAGATTCGCCCTCTTCGGAGTTAGGGTTACGTCCCTTTGGGGCCTGTCGCCGTCTCCCCGCCGGCGTGTCTCACCGATCAGACTGCTTCTCCCCGGCGGTGGCGTCGCCGGCGTGCGAACAGGAGTGTGGAACCCCAGCTTTGCCTCCACACACTGCGGGAGGGGTTGATGCCGCCCCCGCTGACCCTGCCAGCTCAGGCCGACACCGCAGGGTGTGCCCTGGGTCCCCCTTCACTCCCGGGGGTGTGCTCTGATTTGGGGAGCTGAGCCCCAGGAGGATGTAGGTCTGGCCTGCGTTTGACTTGTGTAGAGCACTCAGACGCCGCTCCCCGGATCTCCCCGGCCTGGGCTTGGGGGTTCACCAGCGACGTGTCACTCTGGGCAGGGGAGGGGGATGGGGGGCTTGGTGCTGAGGAAGAAGGAGTTGGTGGGTGGGCAGCTGAGAGCAGTGCAGAGGGGGGAGGCTGGGCTGTCCTCTGGGCCGGGCCACACTTGGCCAACAGTCGCTGTGGGCACGTCTCTGTGCTCAGCAAGGGAAGTTACGGGGTGTGGGGAGGACTGCAGAAGTGCCCTTGGAGGTCGCTCCAGGTGGCGACTGACTCCTCTGTTCCATGAGGGCCTGACCCTCAGGTGCCCAGGACTTGCCTGCAGACCCCTCCGGAGCTCTCTGGGCATCTCCCAGCAAACAGGGGCAAACCTTCCTGGGGGGCACTCATCACATGCCACGGGCCCCACCCCCCAAGCGGCCTATGGGTGGCCCCACCTGGGTGGAGTGTGCAGCCGGGGGCCCCTGTGGCCCTGGGCAGGCCCTGCCATCTGCTGGCCCCATGGTTGCCCCATTTAGACCCCACTTGACTGGATCGTTGGGACTGAGGGGACCCATCAAGGGCCCCCCGCCCCCTGGCCTGCACTGCTCCCTGGGTGGTGCCGCTACCAGTACTCGTCCGCTGTCTGATCTGATGGTCGGCTGCCCCTCCCTGCCTCCCTCAGCTACAGCAAGCCACTGAGCAGAGACGTGCTGAGGACCTCCAAGCCGAGGCCACCGTCCAGCCTCTGCAACCTGTGCCCACTCTCTGCTCACCAGCAGTCAGGTATCGGCACCGACGTCCGGCACACAGGAAGGTGAGAGGGCTTTCAGGGGAGGGTGGGTGCCAGGGGCAGGGGCTTTGACCCGCACGCTGTCCTCAGAAATAAACTTCAGGGGCTATTTTGGTCTAGGTGGCTGTGGCCTGAGGACACATGGCTGAGGTGGGGGCAGGCGAGCCCACCCCTGGCTTGGAGGTAGAGCAAGGGACAGAGTGTGATGCCCCTCCTTCAGACACCGTCTCCCCCAGCGACTCGGACTCTGACCTCAGCCTGCCTGGCAGTACTGAGCTGGAAGCCCTGTCCCCAGAGAGGCTGCGGGGGGAGGCCCAGGGGGACTCGGACCCCGATGAGGCCCCCTCGCCACCCAGGGACCCTCCCACGGCCGCCGTGCAGCCTTTCCACCTGCGGGGCACCAGCAGCACCTTTTCCCAGCGGAGCCGCAGCATCTTCGACCAGCTGGAGGGCGCGGCCAGGCAGGCTGGGCCCTCGGCGCTCCAGACCGGCCTAGGCGGCCATGGGGGCTTCAAGCAGCCCCTGGCGCCCCAAAGCCAGCCTCAAGCAAAGTGCCCGGGCAGAGCCAGTCATGTCCCGCAAAGGGTGCCCCCCGTCCCTGACTATGTGGCCCACCCTGAGCGCTGGACCAAGTACAGCCTGGAAGATGTGGCCGAGGCCAGCGAGCAGAGCAACCGGGCTGCTGCCCTGGACTTCCTGGGCCGCCAGAGCCTGGACGCCCCCAGCGACTATGTGCCCTCCTTCAACCAGGACCCCTCCAGCTGTGGTGAGGGGAGGGTCATCTTCACCAGACCAGCCCGTGCCGCCGAGGCCAGACCTGAGAGGAAGTGGGTCCTGAGGAAGGTGGGGGCGCCAGGCGGGGGCCAGGGGTCTGTGGAGCTGGCCCACCTGGCCAGGCCTGGGAGCCCGGAGGCCGAGGAGTGGGGCGGCCCACGTGGGGGCCTGCAGGAGGTGGGCCCGCCGGAGGAGGGTCCCCTCCGTGAGCCAGCAGCAGGCCCCTCGGTGGTGGAGACAGTGGGCTTCCAGGGCAGCAGGAAGCGGAGCAGAGACCACTTCCGGAACAAGAGCGGCAGTCCGGGGGCCGAGGCCTGACTGGAGGGGCTGCCTGCCCCTCGGGCAGGGAGCCGGGGGGCTGCCTCAGGCGGCACCACTGGCCCTGGCTCCGGTGCAGGCCGTGCTCTTTGGAGCCAAGACCTTGCCCCAGAGGACAGCGGCGGCCCTGGCCCACTCCATGCCCTTGGGGAACAGTAAAGGTTTGGCACTCCTCAGGCTCAGTGTCTCTGTGTAGATCGACCCCTCCACGCCCACAGTCAGTGTGGCCGGAGCCCTGGCTGTCCAGCCCACCCAGTTGATCTCCTGTTCCCACCCGAGAGCCTCCTGACTCAGCGCCACGCACTCGGAGAGCTTCTCCATCCCTGGCTGCATTCATCCATGGCAGCTTTTCCCGAAAGGACTGAGGGGCCCGCCTCTGTCCAGGGCAGGGGGTGGAAGCAGCACGGGACTTCTCCAGGGGCGAGCTCATGGCCTCGGGCACCTGGCTTGTGCCCAGAGGCCTCGACCATGGGGCTGGGGACACTTGTTCCAAGGAGGCCAGGGTAGGGGGGGCGGGGGCCCTCCCAGCCCTCCCAGCCCTCCCAGCCCTCCCCGCTCTGGCCAAGCGTGAGGGTAGCCAGTGTCCCGGGATCGTGTCGCCAGGCCAGCTGGGTTTGGGTCCACCAGTGGCGGGAGGAGGAAGGTCCCCTGCGTGCCAGGGAAGGCGGCCTGGGCCGGCACCTGTGGCTGACCTGGCTGGCCCCGCCTAGCAGGGGGAGTGGAGGTGCCTGGACCCCAACCCTAGGGGTCCACTTTGGCCTTCGGGGCCCCGGCCCCAGCCCGGGCATGTTCTCCAGGCCCCAGTGGGGGCGGAGCGGCTTGCGGGGTGGCGTCGTGAGCGTGCTGCTGGGCCCGGCGCTGTCCAGCGTTCCCTGAGCTGGTTGGGGGTGCAGGAGCGGGAGGCAATGCAGGAAACCCCTGGACGCAAGCCTTAAAAGGCACGAACTCTGACCACAGCTATGTCATAAACAGTAGTTTCTTAGCAGGCAACACAGGCTGGGGAGGGGACAGGTGTGCCCCCGCGGCTGCCGTCCACCCAGCGGAAAGCAGACGGGTGCTCAGCGGGAGCTCGCTGTCCAGGCGAGGACTGCGGGTTCTGAGGAGTCCCATCCGCAGGGAGCAGGCCTGCGCCTGGGTCCCAAGCTCCCAGGCTGGGGGGGGGGGGGGCAAGAGGGGCAGGACAGAGTGTGGAGTGGTCCCTCTGACGAGGTCATGGTGGCAGGAGGGGGACAGTGGTGTTGGTTGGATCTGGGGTAACTAGCCGAGGGCCATGGCCCCCTGCCCACCCTGGTCAGGATGCGGGGGCCAGGCCGCCGGCTCTGGGAGACGGGGCACTGTGTGCTGACAGTCTGGTGCCTCAGGCATCCGAGGCCAGTGGGCCTGCCGGTGGCTGCTCCCTGGTCCCTGGGCCACCAACGTGCTCGGCAGGGGCCTGCCAGTTCCTGGTGCCAGAATTCCGGGCATCTAATGGGTAGGAAGGGCACTCAGCAGGCAGGAAAGGGGGCACGCAGAGGGAGGTGAGCGCGGGGCCTGGATCCCTGAGGGGAGGCTGGGGCGTAGCCTTGGAGTCTGAAAGGCCACAGTCTTGTGCCTGGCGGGGCCAGGGGGCATTTGCTCCACCAAAGCCAGTGGTCGGCCAAGGGCATCAGAGGCCTGGGTACATCCCCACCTGGACAGGGCAAGGCAGCCGGCAGGGCCCTCCCCAGACCCACACTCACTGTGGAGGACGGTGCCCGGGGCCAGCCTGTCTGCCAGGGAGGACAGGAGCGCTGTGCAGTCACCCACCTGCCGGAGGGAGAGACGTCCTGGGAAGCCCTCGGCTGCACCCCAGCTCTCTGGGAGCATCGGGACGCCCGGGCACCCTCCCGTCCGCATCCCCTCTCCCGCCAGGACCCCTGCTGCCCGGGGACCCTCGTTCTGCACAGAAGGAAGTGGGTGGGAGGCTGAGACTCCAGCTGTGCGTGGAGCGGGTGGTGAGGGGCTGTGCAGGATCCCCCCCGGGCAGGGCACCCCGTCTTAAGTGATGGGTGGGGCAGGGCTGGGTGCGTGGGAGCCCGGCCCGGGTGCAGGTGTTAGTTCGGAGGTGAGGCAGGGCTGCCACCCCATGTCTGCTCTGCAGCCCACCTGTGACTCCAAGCCCTGGATGCGCTTCTCTTGCTCTCTCAGCCCCACAAGGTGCTTGGCTATGATGTCCACCCTGCAGCAGAGTGGGGTGGGGGGTGTTGGGTGGCAGGGTGCAGCAGGCCACCGTTAGCCACGGGACACTGAATTCAAGGACTCCCCCTCCTGGCTCTGTTGCCTGGGCCCTTGGAGGGCTGCTTTGGTCCCTCCCCTTGCCCGCGTGATGGATGCTGGGCACCGCTCCGGAGAGAGGGCAGGACCACCCCACCCACAAGGAGGGAGGGCTGGGGGGCACCGCCCTGGAGAGACAGCAGGAGGGCTGGGCTCCACTCGAAGACCCTGGAGCAGAGGGGACACCAGGCGTGTTGGCCCCTCTCTCCCAAGTGCAGGGCAGGTGAGGCCTTGGGGTCAGGAGCCCAGGTCCTGGGCCCCGAGACTTAGTCACGCCCTGCCCCTCTCAGGCAGCCTCAGTTTCCTTAGCTCACCCTGAGCAGCACGGGGCAGCGTGGTGGCCCCAGCGATGACAGCAGGGGCCCCGCCCGCCGCAGCCCCGGCCCCGCGCACCTGTGGGCAGTTCTGCGCAGCACCTCCACCTCGCTGTCCCGCCTCTGCTTCTCCAGCTTGCTCAGGTAGCTCTCCTTCTGCACCGCCTCCCAGGTGACCATCTTCTGCTCCAGGGGCTCTGGCAGGTCTCTCTCTGGGAAGGCCAGACAGCCGAGGGCTTGACTGGAGCCAGGTGGGCCTTGGGGACAGCCCGGGCCGGCCTCCGCTGCGGCGGGAAGCCCGGGGAAGCCCGGCCACCCCAGGGGCGCCCACCTGCCGCACCCCAGTCAGTGCACGGGGCACAGGGAGGAGCAGGGCCAGCCTGTGCTGGCCGCCCGGCCCCTCCCACTGCTCCATCCCGGGGCCTCACCCAGGCGAGCCCGCCCCTGCCTGGCCTCCTTCTGGAAGACCCTCTTGAGCACCAGGCTCAGGTGGCTGAGCAGGATGAAAGGCGGGGCCAGGGCGGGGCGCTCCTGGTACTCGGTGATGAGGTGGTAGCGCTGGGACCTCCAGAAGGTGTCGGCGTTGCCCTGCACCATCTGGAACGTGTAGCTGTGGGGCCCAGGCAGCCTGAGCCCTGGGGGTCCCTGCAGAAGCTTCCCCCCTGCCCTCAGATCGCTCATTTCTGTGGGGGCACGCCCAGAGTGGGGGCCAGGTGTCTGGGACTGTCCGCCAACCCGTCTGCCATCCGGGGGGACACACCGCTAAGCCCCCAGGTTTGAAGACCCAGGCCCTGGGTGGGCGAGGGAGTGCCCCTGGGGCAGGGGCCTGGGAAAGCTCCGCCCACCACACCCCTGCCTGCTGCCGCCTGCACCCCAGGCCCCATGGGGGGGGCACTGGCCAGTGTTTGAGGGGACGCCCCCACCATGCCTCTCTGCACTTGGGCCGCGGGTCTGAGGGTGGGAGCCGGCTGGCCCTGAGGAGGCCAGTGGTGGGGTCCCTGGGCCCCCACGGCGGAAGGGTGGGCGGGGGGGCACCTGAACATGGCGATGAGCAGGTTCATGAGCAGCACATTGGTGACCAGCAGGAAGGTGACCAGCAGGAGGATGACCAGCCAGTTGGCATAGAGGTTGGGGCAGGAGGGCGAACCTTCCGGGAGCAGCGGGTCCGCCGAGCAGTTCACGTTCACACGGGCCTCTGCAAGGCGACCAAGCGGTGGGGCCAGGCGGGCAGCACGGGGGGCGGCTGCAGCAGCAGCTTCTCCTGGGCGCCGAGGCATGTGCCCTGCAGGCACAGCAGCGGTCCCGCCCTCCGCCTGGCACGGCCCACCAGAGTGCGGTGGCCCCTGCCACCTCGAGGCCTCCGGCCCCAGGCCTGAGGTCTGTGCTCCGTGTCTGCGGCCCGGCCCCTGTGCCGTGTCCCCAGGGATGGACAGAGGGCACTTGGCACGGGAAGTCCCCACCGTGGACACCCTGGTCCCCAACAAACTGGAGGGTCAGCTCTGGCTCCCCTTGCGCACTTCTGCCCCGCTGCAGCCTCAGCCTCGGAGGGTGGGGGACAGAGGCCCCTGCGTTTCTACTGGGTGTTGCCGGGCCTGAAGTCCCCTTCACCCGCCTCTTCCCAGGGCTCTGCCTGAAGCCAGACTGGGGAGAGCTGGCCTTGGAAAGGCAGACGGCGTCTTCCGAAGCTTCTGGGGCTTCTACGGCCCTGACGCCCGTCTCGGAGCACCCGTGGGAGCGGCTGAATGCCCGGCCCTGGGCCCCCACCTGCAGAGCAGGAGTGGGGCCCGTTGTGGCCCCCTCACGGGGGGTGTGCAGACGCACACACAGTGGACTTGTCCATGCTCCGGCGGAGCTCCCCGTGCGCTGTGGCCCCGTGGGTCCCTGTGTCCTCACTGGAGCACCCTCCCCATCCCGGAGTTCTCCAGGGGGCGGGCACACAGCCACCTTCCCCTCCTTTCTAGGGCTTATTCCTGACCCCACTCTGCCTGCCCAGGTTTCGGAGGGGGCTTGGCCGGCCCTGGGCAGAGCAGTTTTGGCTGCAAATCAGAGAAAAGTGGCTCTGCCCACAGGAGACCCCTGACTTCCTGATGACGCACCAGAGTGCCATCAGGCCGGGCCTGGAGCCCCAAGAAGGACCTTTGCTGTCACAGCTCGGCCCCAGGGCTCCCTCCCACCTGGCACGTGGGGAGCAGGGAGGCCACCTTCAGCCCAGGGACGTGCAGAATGGGGGCTGCCCGAGCCTCAGTTTCCCACTTTGTCCCACAGCCCGGTGGGCTCACGGCAGGCAGGCGGCTGGGGTTCAGCCCCAGAGATGGCACTGAGTGGCACGGGCCCCCCCGCAGGACTCCGTCCACGGGGCCACAGTGGCCAGCAATGCGGGGGCTCGAGGGGGTTGGACCCCTCGGGGGGCCCCAGGGGACACCACACCACGCCATCCCCCATACCAGCATGTGGCTGCAGCCGGCCGGGCCCAGGGAAGTGGCCGCTGGGGCTGGTGCGCCTCCTGCCCAGCACCAGAGGGGCCCCCTCATCCTCCCCCCGCCCAGGGGTCACAGCACGGCCCCCGGCCGAGGCACACGGTGAGGACCGTGGTGTCCTGGTGACTCACCGTCTGGAAAAGTGACGCTGAGGAGGAGCAAGGACAGGGAGGGGGTCGCAGGGCAGGGGGGGGGGACTAAGAAAACAGCCGAGGGGGGGGCCTCGGACACCCCACCTGGAGGCAGTTTCCCTGATGTTGCGCCCCACCCCCTCCCACAAGCCTGTTTGCTTCAATCACATGCCATTCCCGTGGCAAATATTTACTGCCGGCTTTTGCCCCATTAGCTTCAAAGATCAGGCCTCTATGCCCCACAGTGCCTCTGGTTGCCTGTGGTCCCTGCACCCCTGCTCTGTGCCGGGGAAGGTCCCAAGGGCCCAGTGCCCTGGGTCCCTCACACTGGCACCTGGCTGCTGGGCCACCGTCATCTGGGGGGCAGCCCTTTCCATCTTCTACTGAGCCCAGCCATTCCAGGTGTCCCTCACCCAGGGTCCCCTGCAGCTGACGGCCAGGCAGCTCTGTCCCCCGCACTGTCCCCAGTGTGGGAACTTCTCAGAGCCTCCTCCCAGCCCTCCACCCAGCTTGGAGACCCCGGGCCCTCCAGCAGGCCACACAGCGGGCAGTGTGGGGCCCTCGCTGGGCAGCCCCAGGAGAGGCAAGGGTGCCATCGGGACTGGCGGGCATCGGAGCCTTCCCCGCAGAGGCCCCGGGCCCAGTGACTAGGCCTGGACAGATAGGGGACGGGGAGATTGGCTGCCCCACAGGGTCATGCAGAAGGGGAAGGCCCACAGACACAGGGTTAGCCGGAGGGGCCGGGCCCCAGGCGCTGGTCGGGGCGGACGGGGGTGGCCGCCTGCAGGCACAGCAGCGGTCCCTCCCTCCGCCCCGCACGGCCCACCAGAGTGCGGCGGCCCCTGCCGCCTCGAGGCCTCCAGCCCCAGGCCTGAGGTCTGTGCTCCGCGGCTGCGGCCCGGCCCCTGTGCCGTGTGCCGCGCCTGGGGTCCCAAGGGCTGCACGTCCAGGGCCTTCCCGAGGGACCCAGCACCCCCGGACTCAGTATGCCCCCACCGGCTGGGCCCCTTCTGAAGGGGCGCCCAGGCGGCCCCGCCCCCAGGCCGGCGCTGACCGTCGATCTCGTCCAGCGGGATCTGCCCGAAGATCTGCAGGTAGGGCCGGTAGAGCACCCGGCGGAACAGCCACTCCAGGCGGCTGTCGTGGGGGTGCAGCAGGGCCTGCGTGGCCACGCCGTAGGCCACCAGCCACACGCTCAGGAAGAAGAGGAAGAAGAAGACGTCCTTCATCTGGGGTGGGGGCAAAGCATCAGTGGCCCAGGTCGGGGGCAGGGGGTGTACCCCATCCCCCGGGTCGGGGCCCCGGTCGGCGGGGGCCCACCATCCGCTCCACAATGATGATCTTGGGGCCCAGCTGCTTGTGGACGGCGAAGATGTGGATGAGGCGGAGCGTGAACACCATGAAGTCAACGGCCAGGACCGTGCGGCCCGCCTGGAACAGCGCAGGCAGCATCCTGGACGGGGAGGGACGGCGGCTGTTGCTGGTGCTGGGGAGGGCGGGGGGGGCGGCTCCCCAGGACACAGGGCGGGCCATCGGGGCGGGCTCCCCCTGCGTTTGTCCCCCAGGCCCCACACACCTGCAGGCGACGCCAACGATGAACAGGAAGATGGCCACCATGTCACACTTGTTCCAGTTGTCTTCCACGTAGAGCATGAACTTCTTCCTCAGGTGCGTGTCCTCGTCTGTGAAGAAGCCCTGGCAGTGGAGGGCCGGGGGGCCCGCAGTTGTCGGCCTGGGCTACTTCCTCGGAGACGCCCCCCACCCCGGGCGGGGGTCGGCGTACCACCGACCTGGCGGACCTCCTCCAGCACCAGGGTGAAGACCCAGAAGTACAGGGCGACCTCGGGCCCCGAGGGCCCCTGGGGGGGCGGCCTGAGGTCCACCAGCAGGACGTAGGCGAACAGGAGGAGGAAGGCGAAGTACATGAGCACGTTCCCCAGGAACACGGTCACGGGCGCGCTCCAGAACCGGCGCCAGCGCGAGAGCAGGAAGGCCGCCCCGGGCCCTCGCCTGCCCCCGGGCCTCCGCGCAGGGGCCGGCGGCTCCGCCCTGCAGCAGCGAGGAAGACTCAGTGTGGGATCGGGCGGGGCCGCGCCCACAGGAGCCCGGCCTCCCCAAGCCTCCCACCGGCCCCTCCACCCCACGCGCACCTTTGTGCAGGCCTTACCCAGGGCCGGGCCTGCAGAGCGGGCTGTGCTCCAAGTCCAGGCTGTCCAGCTCCTGCAGGTCCTCCCAGCCCCCCTGCAGTGGGGCCTCCTCACTGCAAGCACAGGGGACTCTCTGGGCCCACGGGAGGGACACCTAGAGGTGCCCAGCCAGCGAGTAAACGCAGGGTGGGCGGAGGAGGCGTGCAGGGTGGGGCTGTGCCCAGTGGGACCCAGGTGGATGCCGGACCACTAAAGCCTCGGGCCCCCCGGCACCCCGGCAAGCGGGCTGTGGCCCCCAAGAACCTGAAGGTAATGAGGTTGGTGTAGAGGAGGGCAGGGCAGAGGAAGGCACTCAGCAGCCGCAGGATGGACGTGCCGGAAGCCAAGTCCCCCCACCAGATCTTGGTCAGGAAGGCCTGGAACAAAGGTTCAGCTGCGGCCTCTGCACCATGCCCACCCCTGGGGCCTCCGCTGAAGCCGCCCCTCCTCCCTGCCCGGCCTCCTGGGGCCTCCATCCTGGCAGGCAAGGGCCTTTGACGCAGGCCAGCAGGGTCGGGGTCCGGGAGGGCCAAGAGGAGAAGTGGCACTCGTGCTGAGAGGCCGTGGGACTGGCCCTGGGACGCGTGGCCCGGTGGCCAGTGGAGCAGGCCGGGAAGGCACCTTCCTGTGCTCCTGCCTCCCTGGGACACAGGGGGCCAACAAGGGGCAGCGGCTGACCAGGGGAGTGGTGAGGTCAGCGGAACACCCTGTCTGCTTGGAGGCCCCCCCGGAGGCCAGCGGCTCGCCCACCTGCACTCCTTCGTGGGCGAAGAAGGCCTTGGTGTCGGCCTCGGCAGCCAGGTGCAGACAGGTGGCCCTGCTCCAGGTGCGGCTGCGGCGCACCAGCAGGGCGAAGGCGCGGTCCTCACTGTCGCTGTAGCACTCGGAGAAGAGGCCTGCCGGCAGCAGGCAGCGCGGCAGCGGACGCTGAGGCCCCCTTTCCCCTGCCAGGACCTCAGCTGCCCCCCCCCCGGGCACCCACCCCCACCCTAAGGCCAGCGCTTGTCCCAGTGTGGGCCGTGTGGTCATCAACGTGCCCCTCCACTGGGAGGCGCCCACAGGCCCAGAAGGGTCGAGGGGTGACCTGGGGCCACACATGTGGGTCTGTCCAATGTCGGGTGGGGGGCACTCACCCAGGGCCAGCTGCTCGTAGGCTGCCTGGTGCGTGGTACAGTCCACCTCGGCCTCGGTCTCCAGGTGGGACAACTCCCTGACGATCTTGCAGGCGGCCAGAGCGGTGGCCACACCCTCCTGGCCCTAGGAGAGTGTGTGAGGAGGTCGCCAGCCACCCGCCCCCCCCGGGCTCCAGGTGGCCGCTGCCGCTCACCATGGCCCAGAAGTAGGTGGCCATCTGGTGGCGGCCCTGCAGCACCGCCCACAGGAACAGGTCCCGCCACGGGTCCTCGCTCTTCTGGCTCAGGTCCGGCTGCCACTTCTGTCCGCCGGGCCGCCGGGCCGGTCCCCGCTCCTGGAGGACACGGGGGTCAGCCCTGGCCGCGGCCCCACCCGGCCCCCGCGCCCCGCTCACCTGGTAGAGCCCCCGGCAGGCGTCGTGCAGCAGGTCCTTGAGCACACGGGACACCTCGTGCAGTGAGAAGGCGGGCGGGCCCGCGGGCGGCGGCCCCCGGGCGGGCGCCGGGCGGCCCTCCTCCAGCTTGCGCTGCAGCAGGGAGAAGAGCAGGCTCTTGGGGGGCGTGGCCCGGTACAGCTGTTGCAGCCGCCCGTAGGTCAGGAGGTCGGCCACGTTCGCGCCGTGGTCCACGAAGAGGCGGACGAACTCCGGCTTGTCGCTCAGCAGCGCGTCCATCATCACCTCCTCCAGGTCTCGGGACTGCGGGCCACAGGGACCGGCCGGAGCGGGGCGCACGGGGAGAGTGAGTGGAAGCCGGGGGAGCGGGGGCTCCCGGCCCGCCACCCGCCCCTGGGCCAAGGGTCGTCCAGCACCTCCCATGGGGCACACTGGGGGGCCGAAGAGTGGCCTGGGCCCCCTCAGTGGCCCCGGGGGGAGGAGGGACTACAGCCCTTGGACGCCGCCTGGCCCAGGCCCTATCCTCTGCTGGCCAGAAGCTGGGGCCCCAGGTGGGGGGGGCACCTTCCACTCCACGTCCCCGTTGAAGAGCTCGCTCTTGGCGATGTCCACGCGGTCCCAGGCCACTGCCAGCTTGAGCTCATCCAGGTAGTCCCGTGGCTCCTGGCTGTGGCTCTTGCAGGCTGCAGGTACGGGGCAGGGGTGAGGGCGAACCCAGGGTCCCTCCCGGGGGCTCCTCTGGGGACGCAGCTCCTGGACCTGTGCCCTGCCTCGAGCTCGCAGAATGACAGGAGAGAGACAGCGCTGGGAGCCCCGGCAGGAAACCGCCCCGCTGGGCAGAGAGGGGCGGCCGCCCCTCACAGCCTGTGCTCATCGCCAAAAGAGCCCCCAGAGGCAGAAAGCGGACAGGACCCAAGCTCTGAGCGGCACCACCCCGGGCCCGCCGCGGCGCCGCACCTTTCACCAGCGCCCTGAGGATGACGGTGTCCAGCTCCTCGGAGCCCTCGGGCTCCAGGTCGTGCACGGTGAGCAGGTGGGGGTGGGAGGTGATGTTCTGCAGCTGGGCGGTGGGCGGCGCAGGCCCCGGTCAAGCGGCCCCCCGGCAGACCGCCCCGCCCACAGCTCAGCCCGCCACCCGGTGTGCCCCCCCACCCCCGCTCCTTGCAGGCCCGAAGCCAGAGCCGACCTGGCACTCTGCATTAGGAGGGGCTGGGGCGGCCTGGGTGGGACGGGCCAGGGAGCCCCCCAGGGGCCAGCCCTGCTCAGCAGCGAGATGCCCGGGAAGAGCAGGGCCCACCCTTCGGACTGGCCTCTGGGGGCTCCTACCAGCTCCGTCCAGTGCAGGATGTCCTCCCAGGGGAAGTGCTCGCTGGGGAACTTCTCTCTGAGCTGCCGCTCCACCTCCTGGGGCAGCAAGGGCCTCGGGTGGCCGAGCAGGGCGGCCAGCAGGTCTGCCACTCCCCCGGAGCCGGCCAGGATCAGCCACGGTGTGGCGAGTGCCAGGGCCCTGGCAACCCTCTGGGCGCAGGGTGGGGAGGGGGCCCGTCAGCTCCCGGTGCCGCCCAGGCTCCCCTTTCCCTCCCTGCCCCGGTGGGGGGGCCCTGGAGGAGGCCGCAGCAGACCCCCAGGAATCCAGCCAGGCCCCACCCCCTCCTCCTACCTCCAGGGTGCCGGGGTCCCCGTTGACCAGCAGACACAGGACGGGGATCTCGATGCTGCCGGTGCCTGTGGACGAGCACCCGTGAGGCCCTCCCCCGAGCCTGGGGCGAGCGGGGAGCCGTCGGTCCCCCCACTGCGGGCCGTGGGGCCAGCCCCCCGGCCTTGGCCCTCACCCCACACTTTCTCTGAGCGCACACCGGCCCCGAGGCCTTTTCTGGTGAAGTGTGGGCTCCAGGCTGAAACCAGGGGCCCCGTATCAGAGGCCCTATCACTTGGACACCGAGCCCACCCCCATGTCCCCCCCATAGTGTCCAACGAGGCCACTTTGTGGCTCCGGAAACAAAGTAAATGCAGGTGAACACTAGGCCCCGGGCCGTCCTGGTCATCGGCTGTGCCCATTGCCGCGGAAGCTCAGTCGGACAAGGAGCCACCTGGGAGGTTTCCCCCCAAACCCAGACCAACAGGGGGGCTTCCGGGTGGGAAACAGTCCCCTATACACGCCTGCTGCATGGGAAGAGCCTCGGCTCCTGGGCAGAGTCCCCCCAACTCCCAGAGGTGCCCACAGACAGTGAGCAGGGGCCCCCGTGGGCCCCAACGGCCCCGGGCCCAACTCTGCTGCACGGTGTTGGTTTCGACACCGCTGTCCTGACTTCCTCTTTAAAAAGTTCTCGGTGGATAAGCATTTTACATTGTTAGTCACTCAGTAGTGTTTCTCAGTGAACCCAGCCTGGGAACGCCCACAGCAGCCCATTCCTTGGGCGGCACCGCCCCCTGGTGGCAGCATACCCTGTAGCCGGTGGAAATGGCAATGGGCAAACCTCATTTCATTGCTCGCCCTGAGCCCCCTGCCAGAGCCTCTGGCCAGCAAAGGCCCCGTGGACATGGAGCCACCACCGCTCCCTGGAGGGGACCCACCAGCCACACTCTCAGCTGCGGCCCTCCACCCCCCCAGGCCCCCGCAGGCCCCCGGTCTCAACATCCAGGCACCCATCTGTCCCCGGGCCTCTCTGGGCCCCTCACCCCCGTAGCCGGTCCTCTGCTCCGAGATGTGCTTCTCCAGCCGCAGCCACAGCGCGGTTGGCCCGTCCCCGTCCCCGGGGGTGTCCGGCTCCACCAGGACGAAGTGGGAGTGGTTGTTGTCCAGGGGGCAGAGGGGGCCCCGGCCACCGTCATCCATGGGGTAGTGGACGGGGCTGTGCTCCTGGGCCCCGTGCACACCGTGAGGCCGGGGCGAGGCTTCTGCCCAAGTCGGTTCCCGCCCCCACCCCGAGGGCCCCCAGAGGGGACTCAGGGCTGCAGGACGCTGCACTTGTGGGGTCTGAAGGGCGTCCCCTGGCCCTGCCTCAGACAGACCCTGGGGCAGAAGCCGCTTGCCCAGGCCTGTGGGGCAGGGGCCGAGGCAGGTGTTTGGGACCCTGGGACCCCCAGGTCTGTGCTGCCACCTGCTGGCCGTGTGCTGGGCGCACACTGCCTGTCACAGCTCCTCACTCTTTCAGAGCTCGGGCCTCACTCCTGCCCGTGAGCCCCGAGGGCAGGATCTGGCCTGTGCACAGTGGTCGGGGCCCATGGGGCCAGGCGGGGGTGGGGGGACTTGGGGAATGTTCACTCAGTAACAAACAGTGGGTGGCAGGGTGTTGCCACCCTGCCGGACCCGCTGGGGGCTTCCCTGCCACCTGGGGTGGGCGGCACCTGGGAGCCTGGACCCCTCCCAGTCCCCGGGCTCACCGGGGCGCCGTCCAGAAGTTGACGGTGCAGCACTCGGCCTAGGGAGGCGATGCCGACGGCCACCACGCGCGCCTTGGGGGACGTGCTGGCCAGCCAGTGGTCGCGCACGGCCTGCCCGACGTGGCGGGCCAGGCCCGTCCGGAGCGCGCTGGTCAGGATCCAGGCACCTGCGGAGGGGGACTGGCTGTGCCCTGGTGCGTCCGTCCCGGTCAGCACGAGGGGTGGGCCAGGCCCTGCACCCCGGGAGGTTTGCCCGCCTGGCTCAAGGGTCCTTTCTCTTTGCCACAGTCACTGCTGTGCTGACGGGGCTCAGCACCCCCCTCTGTGCCAGGCTCTCTGCAGGCCCAGTGGCCCGAAGGTAGAAGCCCATGACTTGATTCTGGCCCTGACAACCAGTGGCCAGAGTGGTCCCGTGAGGGAGGCAGCGGGGACGAGGGGCGCACTGTGGGTAGCAGGTGTACAAAGTCACTGTCCCCAGGGGCATCTTGCTGAGGCCCCTGGGCCCCAGTGGTCGACAGGCCAGGCCTTTGTCCACAGGGTGCCTGGGACCCCTGGGGGAGGCCCTGGGCCCCTCGGCCGCGTCCCCACGAGCTGTGCCCACCCTGGTCACCGGCAACGATGCCAAGGGAGGGGTGCCAGAGCTAGCTGTCCAGGCCCGCCAGGCGTGGGCACGCCGGGCGCCCTGGGGCCAGGGGCCGGGCGGGGCCTCACCTGTGCTTTGAGCCGCCGTCACCAGCCCCTTGCGCAGGACATCCCGCAGCCGGGACCTCATGTTGAGGGGCCGCTCTGTGCCCACCAGGGACACCACGAGGTTGGGGGCTGGCAGGTGCCACTCAGCTCTCAGGAGGTTGAAGAGGGCAGCGGGTGCCGCATCGCTGGGCACCTTCACAAACTGTGGGGTGGGGGCGGCAGGGGGCGCTGGGCACAGGGACCTGCGGTGGGACCTGGACCACCCTGACCTTTTCTAGCCCAGGCCTTGCCTCTGCCTTGAGGACGCCGCACTGCAGGAGGGTGGGGCGCTCTGAGCAGGGCCCCCAGGACAGCGGCCCTGAGGAGGGGAGCAGGCACCCGGATGCTCAGGGTTCAGGGAAGGAAGCGGGAAATGGGGTCCCGGGGGCCTTGCTGTCACACGCAGCGGGGTCACGGGGGTGCGGGTGGGGAGGTTTACCCTGCCTCGCTTCTTTCCGCAGCCTCCGAACCGGATCTCGCCCCGGCACAGGCCCAGCCCTGACCTGTCGGCAGCTCGCCCGGGGTTGCCGGGGCAGGCGCCCTTCGTGTCCTGCAAAGGGGTCTCTCTGCAGGGACAGAGGAGAACCCAGTCTTCTCCTACCCGCCTGTCTCTGAGAGGCTGGGGGCCGCCTCCGGGGAAGCCCCCCACCCCCACGGCTGGCCGGCAGAGGGTCCCTCCCTCCACCTGAGCCCCAGCATTGCTGCCTCCTCCCCGGCCCGCACCGTCCCCCGGAAGCTCCATGCAGCCAGGCGGGGTTGGGGGGTGAATCCTGGCCCCTCCGCCCCTCTCCTGGTCCCACTGCTCACCCCTCGCCGGGCAGGTGGGACCCAAAATTCCCGTCGCCACCCCTGCGGAGGCTTTGGCGGGCGGTGTCCTGGAAACCCAGAAAGACATCGGGTTTCCGGGCTTTTCCTAGGCTTTTCTGGACCTGCCACCCGCCCCTCTCACACCCTGTCAGCGCCGGACAGGGAAGGGGACCTGGGCCGGCCGTGGGCCTGGGGAACCCGGCATGGAGGAGGGGGGACCTTGGCTCCTTGCTCAGGGGGGCCCTGGGGGTCCTGGCGGAGAAGGCTCTCACCCCAGAGCTCTTCCCACCATGTTCCTGCCCCACCCCTGGCCACAGGGCCCCGCACCTCGTTCCTCACCCACAGTATTTCCCTGCAGCCCCCAGGGGTCCGGCGTGTTAGCTCCAGGCCACGCAGCAGAGACCTGAAGGGCCAGGGGCCCAGGACTAGGCCGTGGGACAAGGGCGGGACCCCAACCACCTCCCTGGCTGCAGGCCCCCCAGTGCCCCTGACCCCAGCCCTCTGCTTCCGTCCACACCCTCTGTCCCCTGGCAGGGGAGACTCTTCCCGTGAAAGGGGCAGGTTGGGGGGTTCCTGTGCCCACAGGAGGGGACGGCATCAGGGGAGCAGGATGCCCGCAGGCAGGACAGGGACTTGCAGGGCCACTGTGCTCCCACTTTGTCCCCCAAGAAGGTGTGACAGGGCCCGAAGTCCTGGTGCCAGGGACGGGGCCTTTTGAGGAAGTGAGCCCTTTGCAAAGTATGGTCACTGAGACAGGCCCTCGCCCTGGCACCGATGGCCTTCGAAGAAGGGGACAGAAGTGTGTGACCGTGGAGACAGAGGGGGAGGGAGGCGGCCATGGCCCGGAGGCGCCAGGGACCCCTGAAGCGGACCACGGCAGGGAGGGGTCTCCCTGAGAGCTTCCTGAAGGTGGCGGCCCGGGGACACCTGGATTCGGGCCTTCTGGCTCTGAAAGGTGAGAGGATGCCTTTCTGTCGTTTTTGCGGTCACTTGGGATGGCCACCCCGGGACACCCACTCAGGGCCGCAGCGGGCGGGCCAGAGGGCACCAGTGCCACACAGGGCGACCCCCCTGTATCAGCACTCTGGCCACGGAGGCCTTGGTCCCGAGGGCCCAGCCCTGCGGTGGGAGGATGCAAATCCGCCTGGACCAGGAACCGCGCGCCAGGATTTGAATACGGCCTCTCCCAGCCGGCGGTCGTGGGCTATTCTTACCCTGGCTGCTGTCTAGGGACAAGGCCTGTGTGTGGCTCGGGAGGTAGGGGACAAGACAGGAGCCATGGGGGTGTCCACAGGCAGCTGTAAGGAAGCCCCACAGACAGGGAATCTGGGTGTCCCAGGGCAGCGCCCCTTCCGGACGCCCCAGTGGTGGGTCCTTCCTGCCCCGTCCAGCTTCCAGGGCTCCGGGTGTTCATTGCTGGGCTGGTGGCCACGTCCCCCGGCCTCTGTCTCCATCTTCACATGGCCTCTGTGTGCCTGTGTCTCCCTGTCCAAATGTCCCTCTTCTTACAGGGACACCAGGCATTGGCTCAGGGCCCAGCCCCCACCTCCGTGGCTCAGCTGAGCTTGTCACATCTGCAAAGGCCCTACTCTCAAGCAAGGCCACATTCTGAGGGTGCGGGGGTGTGAATTTTGGGGGACACCCTTCAACCCCGAGTGCAGGCCTCGAGGAGGGGATGGCGGGCAGAGGGCCCACAGGGACGGCCCTCACTCCCCCGCCCCCCGCCACTGGCCTGCCCTGATGTCTCCATCCGGGCCTGTGCCCCAGGCAGGGGCAACGCAGCTCCATGCACCCCCTCTGGGGTGTGTGTGGGTTGGGGGCTCAGGGGCCTGGATAGCACCCACATGCTCATACCAGTGAACCTCAGGCAGGCTGGTGCAGAGAGGAGGCCAGGGGTGCGGGGGGACACCCCAGCCTGAAGGGGCGCTACGAGGCCCTCCCTCACTGACAGGCCGCTGGTCCTGGGCAGGAGTGGGGCGGGCGGTGCGCAGACGCCAGGCAAATGGGGCCACCGAGGGGGTAGGCCATGCAAATGAGCGAGATTTGCAAGGACAGGTGTGTGGTTTTTAATGCCCCCTTGTTCTGGGGGGGTGGCGGGGCAGCTGGGGTCCTGGGTGGCCCCTGGCTGGGGCCCCACCCCACTCTCCTGGGAGAAGAATGGGCACAGGTTCAGCCCCAGCAGCACAAGTGCCCTGGGCCGGGGGAGATGGCCACCCTCTCGTCACAGGCCATCCAGGAAAGGTCCTCTGAGCTGGCAGAGCCCCCCAGTGCGAGCCCCTGGCCACCCAGGCTCTCTGGGCCCAGCCCCCATCCCTGAGATGCAGGAAGACAGAGGTAACAAGAAGGCTCAGACCAGCCCTGCCCAGCCCCGCCCTTAGCAGCCCAGCGGTTGGCACTGTGGTCCCTCCAGCCCAGCATAACTCGGGGGTCTCCCTGGGCCAGGTGTGGACCCGAATCCCAGACGGGTCGTTAGAGCACACAGCCCTCCCTGCCCCACCCCCACTGCCCCAGGTGCTTCTTAGCCTCCTGCCCCAGAGTCCTGGCCCTGAGCCCCCACCTGCCCCTCCCGGCAACTGGGCTCCTGGGCCCAGGGCGCTGGGCCCTTTTCTCTCTGCTGCCCCACCTGCCCCACCTGGGGGGGCATCCCCACTCCTGACCCCACCTGGGAGCTGACGGCAGAGTAACCTACCTGCCTGGTTTCTCCCTGGTACCCCGACATGCTGCCACTGGCCAAGGAGCAGGGTGGAGGCTGCCCAGTGCAGAGGCACCTGCAAGCCAGCCTGGCCCCTCCTCCTGCCTGCCCTCCCTGGCCAACCGGGGTGGGCGGGCAACTCGGCACGTTCTGGCCCACAGGCCTGCTCTGGCCAATGCCAGGGAGGTGACCACGTGGGGGGCTGCTGGGCCACCTCAAGTGCCATGGTTTCCCTGGGGGGCCATGCTGGGGGTGGCCCGCAGAGCCAAGCCCAGCCGTCTTCCCCTGACCAGTCTCAGTTTTCAGCCCACCCTCAGTTTACCTCTCCAACCAGCAGGGCCAGCTGCCCCCAGGGTGTGTGCCCAGCGCCCCATGGAAGACCCGTGGCAGGGGCAGCCCCCCACCCCCCAGAGTCCTGCAAAGCCAGGAGGCGTCGGCCTGGCACGCTGCGCTGGGCAGGTGGCCGAGCCCAGCTGGCACTGTGGGCACGGCATGGACATGGCCCCTCCGTACCGGGGCAGGACGGGTGCCAGGGGCTGGGCCCTCTGGGGTCCCACGGCCCTGGGCTCCTTAACCGCTCTGGGCCACATTTTCTCTGGAAAATGGGGCCCTCACCTCTGGGAGCTGGTGGGTAACACAGCGAGACCAGGCCTGGATGACACTTCTGCGTGTCCCTCCACAAAGAGACCCCAGGACCCCCTCCCAAGGGACTCTTGGTCCCCTGAGTTCGAGTAGGGGTCGGGGACAGGGTCCAGGCCTGGCGCCCCGGAACCCCACAGAATGCTCGCCCGTCTGGCCCATTGGCCACCAGAGGGCGCCCCAGGACCACAGACAGAGTCCGGGTGGGCGCGAGGCCCCTGCAGAGGAGACTGGGCAGCTTTCCCGCTGGAAGGAGGGACGCAGCCACTCCCACAAGAGCCAGCTGCAGGCTGTGCTGGTTCAGCAGCTTCGCTTGCAGCCCAGACAGGGCCCCCAAGAAGTATCAGACTCTGGCAAAACGGGGCTCCGGGGCTAGGTTCCCACAAGCCTTTGGGCCCGGTTACTGACCTCGGGGTGCCTCTTCGGGGCCCTCAGGTCCTGCCAGGGTCGGGGTATGTGGAGAGTGAAGGGTCTCCCAGGCCCTCGGAGCCTGCGGGACGAGGGGCACCCAGTGCTTGCCCACTTCCCTTCCTCTGTTCCAGCCCTGCCACTGTAGCTCTGAGCCCCTCCCTGGCCCCTCCGTGGCTCCCTACTGCCCCAGTGAGAAGCCCGCCATCACCACCAACCTCCCCAGCCAGGCAGCCTCCTGCTTGCTCCCTGGACCAGCCTCGGGGCCTTCCCTCCTGCAGCCCTGACCCCTGACCCCTGACTGTGGGCTGCCCCGGGTCTCTCTTCCCCTGTGACCTGGTGTGATTTCTCAGCGCGCCCGGCCCTGGGAGGTGACCTTCCATTCCTGTTCGGACCTGTTGCCCTCGGGCGTTCACGGCTGCCCGGGGCCGGGACCCACGAGCCGCTGGAGGACTGAACCCAGGTGGGATGACGGCGGGAGGGGGAGGGTGTGGCGAGTGTCCATGAGGGGGCTGCTGGGAGCGGCAGGGTGGGCAGGGCCAGGCTCAGCTTGGCTGGGTTCTGCCGCCCGGGGTCAGGGGTGCCTGGGGGCCCACCTGCGTCCACGGACACCATCTGGAGAGGTGCCCGGGATGACCTGCGCTCCAGCTTTACTTTATTCACTTCTTTTTTTAATCCTCACCTGGGGACATTTTTTCGTTGCTTTTTAGAGAGAGCGGAAGGGAGAGAGAGAAACATCGATGTGAGAGAGGAACACGGATGGGCTCCCGTGGGTGCCCCGCCCCGGGACCGCACACCCCTGGACCAGGAATGGACCCTGCAACCCAGGTATGTGTGCAGACCGGGAATCAAACCTTCGACCTTCTGGCGCACAGACAGTGCCCCTACCCACTGAGCCACACCAGCCAGGGCCTGGCTTTCATTTGAGCTGCCTCCACCCCCTTTGCCACAGTGTCACACAGGACTCGGGGTCCGGTTCCCGTGACGGTTCCCCTGCGGGAGAGGCCGTGCCCGGCACAGCGGGCCCCAGCCCCTCCCGCCCCAGGCTGTCATCTCAGGACACAGTTCTCGGGGCCACAGCCACCCGCTGGTTTTCTGCAGCAGCCCAGGCTGCCAGGACGGGAGGGCAGGGGCCTGAGGGAACACGCCTTCCCTGGTGCTCGCTGGGGGCCACTCAGGGTCTAACGTGTGGGGCGATTTCCGAGCCACCTCTGCTCCTTGGTCTCCCGGGACTGAAGCCAGGACCCCGGGAGGGGCCGGGCCCGCCTGGGTCTCCCGGTAGCACGAGGCTGCTCTGGCCAGGGCGGCAGGGCGGGCTGCTGAGCGGAGCCTCTGGGCCGACCCGAACACCCTCGGCGGGCCCCTCCGCTGAAGGGACAGCCATGGGAGCAGCCCGGACTCGACACCCCTCCCTGCCCGGGCGAGGCAGACGCGCCCTTGCTGGGCCCCCACCCTCCGGGCTCAGGGACCCAGGAGCGCCTCCTTCCTGCAGGGGCCCCCCCGTTCCGCAGCTGTGCCTCAGCGTCCTCGTCCCCCCAGCCATGGCCAGTGTCCTCTCCCTGAAGTGACCATCAGGTTCTTACAGGGCCTGGATCCTGCACCCAGCAGGTGGGGCCCAGGCTGTGACCTCGGGCCCCAGGAGCAGGGGCTGGGAAGGGGAGGGCCAGAGGGTGGGAGGCAGCGAGGCCTCCGACCCCCGGTCCCACAGGCAGAGCCTGCCGTCGGTCTCCCCTCTGCCTGGTGCCCACCCTTCCATCTACCTGGGAGGCAGCGGTGGCCCCGCCACAGATGTGGGGACAGGGCCCCAGAGACCCAAGGGATACTGAGCCCAGACCGCCCCCCTCCTCCCTCACCCCTCACTCCAGCCACCTTGTCCCCAGAGGTGGTGGGAGCTCCAGGAAGGAGACCCGAGGGTACCTGGTGGTCAAAGGGTAGGGGGCAAATAAGGAGCCCCCCTCCCCTGATCGGCTGAACTAGGCCCTAGGAGACGTCAGAAGGGCGGGGCGGCTGGGCGCCCCAGACCCCAGGGATGGGGGGCTTCCCTGTGCCCTGCGGCCCTCCCATGTGCAGCCAGCCACCACGGCCTGGGCGTGGGGCCGTGCGGCGACCGCGGCGAGTCCGGCTCCGATGTGACGTGGGGCGAGGGCAGCACCACCTCCCGGGCCTGTAGGGCAGAGGGCGCTCGGGGCAGAGTCTGCCTCCCCGGAGCCCAGGGCGCGGCCGGTGCCCACAGTGTGCGGGCCAGTGCGGGGTGGGGGCGGCGTGTCTGTGTGTCATGTCTGTCTCTCCTCTGTCCCTGCGTGGGGCACAGGCTCTAGCCCGGCAGGTTTGGCTGGGGCTCCCAGATGTGGGCACTGGGCCAGGGCCCCCAGCCCTCCTGGCCCTCAGCTGCCCCGCCGGCCCCTCCTCCTGGGTCCTGAGGAGTCCGAGAAGCCCGTGCGTCCTCCCTTTCTGGGGACTATAGGAGCAAAGGGGTGTTTCGGTTCAGCACCACGGGCCCCGGGCCCCGTTCTCTCAGGCCCACTGCCCAGGGGCCGTGCCCCACCGGCCATCCCGGCCCCCGTGACTCTTCGCCACTGGACAGGTTCACGGAGCGACCCCTCTGTGCCGGCACTGTACCAGGTGTCAGGCAAGACGCAGACACCAAACAAAAACACATATGTAAGAAGTAAAAAGAGGAAAAGGTTATCAAAGTGGCGTGGAGAAGGAAAAATAAAGCAGGAGAGGACCAGTAACTGGGGGATTTTATTTGTCAATGGGCTGGTTGAGGAATACCTCGTCGGGAGGGCAATATTCGTGCAAATCCTGGGAAGCAGCCTGGTCCCTCCACCCACCCACCGTCCACTCGCCTACCCCCCTCCTCCACGCACTCAGCCACCCCCCCACCCATCCGTTCTTTCACTGACCTGCCCTTCCATGCACCTACCTGCCCACCACAACTCATCCTCCCTCCCTCCATCTATTCCTCCCTCCATCTGTCCACCCAGCCCTTCATCCTCCCACCCATCTCTCCATCCGTCCATTTACCCACCTGTCCCCACGCGTCCTGTCCCCATCCCGGTGTCCCTCCACGCAACTACCCAGCCCCCCGGGCCTCCGTCCATCTCTCTCTCTCTCTCTCTCTCTCTCTCTCTCTCTCTCGTCACCAGTCGCCAGCTCCTCCAGGGCTGCCGCCCCGACAAGTGGAGGGCGGTCTCAGCCCTCAGGGCTTCCCAGGGCAGCCCTGGTGCAGGCCGGGCGTGGCCGTGGGAGCAGCGGGCGGGGGCTGCGTGAAGCCCAGCCTGTGTCCATGCCCTGGTCTCCCTCAGCCTGCATTTCTCATGGACGAGATCACTGTCCCCCCGGGCAGGGCCCTGCCTTCCACTGTCCTGGCCTCCCCAGGCCACCTGGAAGCCTGGGAACTCAGTAGGCGCCCAATAGATACCGCGGCTGGCTGGCTGAGTCACCCCGCGGGCCGCCTCCTCCCCCACTCCTCCCGTTCTGCACCCAGCCTCCCTGCCAGCCTGTGGCCTGGCCTGCTCCCCTGCCCCCCTCCAAATCCGCTCTGCCCTGCCTGGCTCTGGCTCCCAGATGGGCCCCAGGGCAGCTTCAGAGGGCCAGCCCTGGTGCTCGGGCCCCAGCAAGGCCCTGGATGGGAAACTGCCCACTGTAGGTTCACAGGACTGGACAGGCCACCTGGCCCAGGTGACCCACCCTCCACCCTCCCAGGAGTCAGGGACATGACTCTCCAGCAGGGAAAGGCCCGCTAGCTTCTCAGACAGGCCCAGACAGGCACTGCCCGGGTGCCTCGGATGCGGGGCGGTCTGCTCCCTGGAGGGCCAGCTGAGGGTCATGTGTGGAGGGTGGTGGCGGTCTCTTGGGCAGGGGACCTGTGAGGATTGGGGAGGCCCCGGGTGTTGGTGATCAGGGTGGGCACGTTGGCCACAGCCCCCACTCCCCAGCCCGTGCTGGGCCGGCCCGCGCCCTGAGGCCACCCCCACCCGGCTTACGGAGCCTCGACTCCACCGTCTCAGGCAGGGAAGTTAAGGGTCAGGGAGTGTGTCTCAGGGTGCGTGTCTGAGTGGGGGTGTCACCAAAGAGGGCACCGGACTGCGCGTCCTCGTGGCAGCTGGACAGGCTGTCCAGGGGGATTCGGGTTGTTGTCATAGCTGGTGCCCAGCAAAGACGTCACCAGGCGGGAGCTGTCCCCAAATCCCAAACCTGACCTTCCTGCCCAGAGTGACCGCTCTACAGGGCTCTTGGACCTGGCCAGGCTCCAGGGGACTGTGGGTTCCCGGGGCTGGTCCTCCAGGTGCCCACTCAGAAGGGGAGGGACACTCAGTGCTGGTAGGAGTGTGGCTGGAGGGCACCATGGGCTTGCAGCACCGGTCACAGTGTCTGTCCAGCGGCCCCCAACTTTTGTCCACCTGAGGCTTGATTCGGACGACTGACCTTGAGCCCCATGGAGCCTCTGGGAGGGGCTTCCTGTCCGAGGGCCGGGCCCCTTGGCTCTGCAGGAGCCTGGGAGGACCGGAGCATGAGACCAGCTCACAGGAAGGGTGATGTCAGGTGACCTAACCTCAGACCAAAGAAAACACACAGGAGCCCAGCCCACTGCCCACTGGCACCGTGGGCCCCCCTGGGCAGCAAGGGTGAGGGGGCGCATGGCCCTGCGTGCCGGGCAGCTGGCCTCTGACCCCACAGAATGGGGGGTGGGGAGCGTGGTGGGCAGAGGGTGTTGGAAAGTGCCACTGAGGGAAGGTGAGAGTAGTGTTCTAGAATGTTCTGGGGCCCGGAGCTAGCCCATGGGCCCAAGTCAGAGGCGGGCAGCTTGTCTGCAGGCCCACTCCCTGCGCCCCCGCACCCCCTCCTGCCCCCACAGATCACAGCCTTGCAGACCAGGGCCCCCGGCGGCTCTGTGATGGTGCACTTCCGCGTCGGGGTGGGGGCGGTCGTCTTCAGTCTGTCGCTAACACAAACAAGCCACTTAAAGTGCCTGGTCTCTCTGGGTTGGCTCCCGCGCGGGAACTGACACGCTGGGCCCAGTGGAGGGGGCCATGTTCACCCCCGCCGGCCAGCTTCCCGCCCCTGGATCCTGCGGGCGCGCGTCCGGGCTCTCCGGAGCCAGATGGGTGAGCGGCGTCCTTGGCACCCGTCCGCCGGGCGACTTTCTTGTGCGAGTGACATTGCACACTTTGTCGTGAGCACAGAGATCGGGACCCCTGGTCTGTGAACCGGCCACATTGTCTGCCCACTTTTCCACAAAAGTATCCTTTTTTTCCTCGGGTTGAGATATTTTTCTGTAACAGTGCCATGAATACTTAAAATTTTTTTTATTTATTTTTAGACAGAGAGGGAAACATCAGTGTGTGGTCGCCTCTCACACCCACCCCCCACTGGGGACCTGGCCTGCAACCCAGGCACGTGCCCTGACTGGGGATCGAACCTGCAAGCCTTTGGTTCACAGGCCTGCGCTCAGTCCACTGAGCCTCACCAGCCAGGGCCAAGTGCTACGATTCCTTGCGACCGAACTTGGCCAGTTTCAGCTGTTGTGCCCGGATCTCAGAGCCCCGGGGAGGCCGCACTGCTCCCGCACCTTCTCCCGTGACAGTCTGCCTGCTTGGCGGCGTGTCGACATTTGCTCGTAAGCCTCTCCTTCACTTGAACTTTACTCTCGTGTTCGGTTAGAGAGCCGAACCAACCTTGGCGGTGACCCCGTTCCTGCACAGGCACACTCATCGGAAAGGGCGGCCTGGATGAAAGCCGCTGTGTGCCTGGGCGGCCCGCCAGGGGCCCCGTGGAGGCGGCTCTCTGCCCGTGCACACGATAACCGTCAAACCTCCCGGCAGGCTCTCCTGGCTGCAGCCCCTGAGCTGGTCTGTGCCCGGCACAGCTGTGGGCCCCTCCCTTCCTTCTCTGCACAAACCACCTGCACCTGCCGTGGCCTGGCGGGGCCATGCGGGGTGGGGGGATGGGGCCGCTCTGTCCACCACCAAGAGCCACCTGCCCGGTGGGGGGCACGTTCAGTCAGTCAGCCCGGGGTGCACAGGGAAGACCTGGGGAGTGTCCCGTAAAGTATGGGGCCCTGAGGCGGCTGGGGGACGGTCATCCCGAGGCCCAGCACGATGTCTCAAGAGGTCGTTTTCTACTGTAGGTCGCCCCACCTTCCACCCACCCTGGCTCCCGTTCAGTGGGCAGAGACCCTAGTGCCATCGACAGCAGCGAGGGCCAGAGGCAATGTGGGGTGCCCGAGTGAGCCAACCTTCTGACCCCGTCACCCACCTTGATGCCCACCCAGCCAGGGAAACCCACCAGATGCAGGAAGACAAAGCACCCAACCTCCCCGCCCGGGGCTGTGCAAAAACACCTGCCCCTGCCTGCGCAGGCAGCCCAGCCCACCACGCCCTGTGGTCAGTCCCTGCCAGACCCCCACCCCCAGCCGCCTCCAGCAGGCCCACGTCTCCGCACCCTCAGGGCCCTCACTGGTCCCTGAGGGTCCATGGCCTCCCTTTGCTTGCAGGGTCGGACAGCCCTTGCGGGCCCCAGTCCCACTGCCTTCTCCGCCCAAGGGGAGCTCATCCAGGACTGGCGGGCCATCCTGCTGCTGCCAAGAGGGTGCGTCCGCGCGTGCCTCAGGGCGCCCCCCTTGCGCCCACCACTTCTCCAGAGAGACTAGCCGGAAGGTAAAGTGGGTGCCTGGGCCCTAAACTTCACTCCTGCCTGAGCTGCGCGGGCTCGCCATCACTGCACCTGCGCGCCCACGCCCTCCTTCCCAGCTCAGCTGGGCGCTCTGCTGTGGGCTGAGCAGGCGGGCGTGGGGGCGGGCACGTGGACGCAGGTGGGGCCGGGCGGGTGGGGCAGAGCACGTGGGCGTGGGGGCAAGCACCTGGGCGCGGGGCAAGGGGCAAGGGCGGGGCGAACAGGTGAATGAGAAAGGGGCGGGACCCAGCAGACGAGTGCCGTTCGCCACTGGCTGGGGGGGGCCCGACGCACGCCCGATGGCCGGGGGTGGGGCGTCTGGTTCGGGGCGGGGCGCACGGTCCCTAAGGGCTGGCCTGGGGCCACCGCCCCCTCCTGGCCCCGCCCCCGCGCCCGGGCTTGGCCGGCAGCGGCCTCCCGCGCTGCGCCCCGACGCCGGCGTTTGCTGCTGCTCCCGCGGCTGCTGCCCGGCCGGCCCACGCGGGTCCTGCCTGGCCATGGCCGCGGCCTCCTCCGCACCCCAGGCCGAAAGGAAGCGCTGGGGTTGGGGCCGCCTGCCAGGTGCCCGGAGGGGCAGCGCGGGCCTGGCCAAGAAGTCCCCTTTCTCGCTGGAGCTGGCGGAGGACCGCCCGGTGGCCGGCGCCTTCTATGTGCCCGCCGCGCAGCCCAACGCCGTCGACCTGGGCCCGCGGCCGCCCGTGAGCCTGGACCCGCGCGTCTCCATCTACAGCTCGCGCCGCCCGCTGCTCGCGCGCACCCACATCCAGGGTCGGGTCTACAACTTCCTGGAGCGCCCCACGGGCTGGAAGTGCTTCGTCTACCACTTCGCCGTGTGAGTGTCGCTGCCGCCAAGGCCGCGCTCGGAGGGGCTCCCACGGCGGGGCGTGGGAGGGGCTCGTGCGGAGCGCTGCGCCCCTGCCACCTGCTGGCGCCCGACCGGACCCCAGCTGCGTGCCACTCGGACCAGCCCTCAGGGAAGGAAGGGTTAAGGGGGAGACAGAGATCACGCGGAGCTGTCCCTTGAAGTTCAGGGCCGGTGGGCTCTGACCGTGAGTGGGACACCCCCTGGCTGCGTGGGAAGCTCCCTGCTGCGGGGGCAGGTGTCTGTGTGCGGGGGGAGGCAGCCGGAGAGGGGTGTCTGGTCTAGAAGCCGGCTCCACCCCCCCTGCAGGGACAGTGCAGGTGGAAACCACTCTGGGCAGGGGCGTGTGCCCAGCGGGCACGTTTTCAGCAGAGCTCCCCAGGGCGACAGGTGTCTTCGGCTCAGGAGCCCCCAAGAGGGGCGGCCCCGTGTCAGCACCCCAGACTCTGCTGGTCCAGGCAGGCCCTGGGGAGGGGCTTCCCTGCCCCAGGTGGTGGTTTCTGAGGGGCCAGCACGCGGTCAGAAGCATCCGCACCTGGCCAAACTCGGGGGGGGCCTGGGCCCAAGAAGAGGAGACTGGAGGGGCACGTGGAGGGAGGGGCAGGCCCGGGCTTCCAGCCGCCGATCGGAGGAGGCCGTGCCCTGGAGGACTCAGCGCCCTGTTGGCGCACCTGGCCCCTGCTGTTACCAGGCGGCTCTGATTCCCGGAGCGGCGCACCTGCGCGGGGCAGGGCGTTGTACTGCACGGGGACAGGGGCACGAGGAAGTGGGATGCCTGCCGCTGCTGCCGTCCCGTGGCCCTGCTGCCTGGCCAGCTGCCTCTTGGTACGATGCCAGGCTCTGTCCTGTGAGCCTTCGCTTGGTTGTGCCCATGCTGGTCTTGGGGGCCGGGCGGGGGCCGGCTGCCTCTTGACCTCCTGCTGCCACCACTCGGGCTTGGGGCCTCTGCTGGCCTGGGGCAGGTAGAGACCTTGCTGGGGGTGTCCAGAGCCCTAGTTTCTCCCACTGGGGGACCCAGGCCCACCTGCTCAGAGTGCCGTTTTGGGCAGGTGAGGCAGGGTGGGCGAGGCGGCCTCAGTCTCTCACCTTTGGGCGTCTGGGAACGTGCGCACCAGGGCGGCTGCCCTCTGCGGCCGCGGGGACAGAAAACACTGCCCCAAAGGCACCGGTGGGCCTCCATCTTGAAGCCTCTTCCCCACCCCAGCCCCGCAGCACAGGGCCCTGCGCTGTGGCCGCCGAGGTCTGTGGGAGTGGGTGCTGCTGGAGGCTGCAGCCACAGCAGATCGTCCGGGGATGTCCGTGTGCGTGGACCTCCAGGGACCCCACCGAGTCCAGCACCGCTGTGCAAACCCCCGGCCAGTGCCAGGCTTGCGGGCTCCTTCCAGGCCCTCACCTGCTGCACCCAAACTCCGTGAGAGACCGGGGGTGGGGTCTCCGCCCAGCTGCCTCTCCATCCCATGGCCTTGGTGCCGGCCCCCGGCCCAGGCAGGCAGTGTGGGCAGAGGGCTGCTGGTGCGTGCTTCAGTGCCCCGCCCCGGGGGCCACAGGGTGAGGGACACCCGACACCCGGGGCTTGGCAACGCAGGCCCGTGGGCGGGGGCGGCCCAGGCTCCGGCCGCAGCCTGCCGAGCGGAGGAAGAGGGCTCGCCGCGCCCAGAGGAAGTCTGCGTGCGCCCGTGTTTTCTTCCTGATTGTGATTGTTCGGCTCTCGGAAGTTCACTCAGCAGACTCTGCCCCTGCCCAGCCTCCGAGGACCTGAGGGCTGGGTGGCCTCCCGGGGGCAGGAAAGGGGTGCTCCTGGGGGGCACGTGTTTCCGCTCCCTGGGCCCTGTGAGGGCTGGCCTTGGGGGGCGTGCGGCCGCAGAGGTCCCGGTGGCGGGTGGCACTGGAGGTAGGCCCTGGCCAAGCAGGTGTCCCTCACCCCCCAACATCTCCACGAGGTCAGCCAGGCTCCACATGTGCTTAGGGGACCAGGGACTGGGGGTGCCCTGGGGCTGAGCCACATGACCAGGGGTGGGTGGCAGCCTCACGGCCTCAGCTTTCCAGTTGTCCTTCTAGGCATCGCCCAAGGTGGTGGCAGGGAAAGGGCTCTGTCCTTGGTGGGAGTTGAGCCACGTGCCACCCCGGGCCTGGCTCGGTTACTGGGCGGGAAGGCCGGGCCTGGCCTTGAGGCCACCTGAGTAAGAGTGGGGTCGGGGTGGGAGCCGAGGTCTGAGTGCCCTGCAGGGCTGGGCACCCTCTCCCAGGCGCAGGGCGGGAAGCGGGCCAGGATATCCTGTCCCCTCCTGCTCACTGGGGAACCCTGCTCCCTCCCGCGTGTGCCTGCCCTGCCCGCCGGGGTCGGGGGCAGACGCTGCCCACGGGCTTCCCGCCGCCTCCTGCCCTTTCCAGGCACTTTGTACCCTGATGTGGGGCAGCTCCCACCCCAGCTGGGGGCGCAGGGGGTGCTGGGAGCACCACTCACTGCTGGGCCTTGGCCGGGTGAGTCCCGTGGGGGCGATGCCGGACCAGAGTGGGAGCTGGGGTTTCCACAGCAGCTCGCCCTGGCTGCTGGGCTCCTCCCCCGCCCCCACCCTGTTCCTGGGTGACAGGTGCAGCCTCCTTCCCCAGCTGCTTCTCACCCCCTTCTCGAGATGTGGGCCTGGGTACGCCCCCTCCTCTGTGACTCAGTGTCCTCCCGGGGCCCACGGCGCCCCTTCGAGGTCAGTGTCCCTGGTGGTTAGGAGACACCGGGCAATCCCGTGTGGCCGAGAAGAGGGTCCCAGGGCCAGTGGACCGGGCCCGGCTCGCAGACCGGCTGGACGCCACCGGTCCCCGCCCTCCCGCCTCTGCCTTTCCCCAGACCCCGGCGGGTGCTTTGGCGGCACCTTCACAGGGGCGTTAATCATTGACGGCGCTGGAAGCCGGCCCTGGCCGTTTTTCGGGCGGAGCCCGCCCACCTTTCCGAAAGTGGGGGCCAGGTCTCGGGCCACGTGCCCGGCTGGGCCGCAGGCTGCGGTGGAGGTGTGGGCCCTGCAGACCCTGCAGGGCGCCGCTGGGGGAGGGGCGTGGAGAGCAAGGTGGGCATGTGGCAGCCGGTAGGGAGGATGGTCCGTCTGTCTGTCTCCACCGTCCCCTTGAGACCACCACCTATCCCTCGGACCCCGGTTCCCGGGGACACCGAGAACTCTTTTCGGGGCTCTTTCTGTGCAGCCCTCTGGACATTGGTCTCACCCTGTCCATACAGAGGCCCGTCCCTGACACTGGCCCAGCCCCAGATCGGATGCTTCGGGCCAGACCACCCTCCGTGCTTCCAGCACTGCCTCCTCGCCTGGCTTTCACTAGGGACCACCAAAGGCGCCCCTCATCTTGTGTCCTCACATTCCCTGCAGAACTTGCTGTTGGGTCCCAGGCAGAGATGATCTAGAGAAGAGACTCGAAAACCAGGAGCAGAAGGCAGGCTGGCTAGATGGACCCCCCTCCCCCACTGCTGCCGACTCCCCCAGCCCCGGAGCTCTTCTGTGCGGTTTGCAGCGGGAGCCCTGACCCAGAGGGGTGGTCGCTCCCTCTCTCCCAGAGGTGCCCCCTGCCACTGGCAGAGGGGAGCCCCAGGCGGCCCTGGGCACCGCGGGCTTTGGACACGGGATCCTGACAGATTTTATGGTTTGGTTTCCTGTTCCGTCCTCCTCCAGTTGGTCTCTGGTGAACGTCACCGCCACACTCGGGGCCGGGGCATCTCCCAACACGAGGGAAGGTAAATCCTGGGTGATTGAAGTGGCGTGGTGCGGCGTGGCCCGCCTCGGGGCCAGGGGGCGAGCCGGGAGGGGACCAGCAGCCTGTGTCTACACAATAGCACGCGACAGCGCAGGGAGAGACGCTGGCGGCATCTCAGACCGAGAGGAAGAGACGGGCCGTGGAATTCGCGGTGCTGCGCCGCTGGGCGGCCACGGGGAAGGAGGTCGAGCCAGGCCCGCTCCTGGCCCTGCACCCGGGGCTGACTTCCCAGTGGGCTGGGAACCCCTCCCCCAGGGCCCAGGGGGCAGCCTGGCCTCTGCCCCGAGTGTGATGCAGGAGCCGTCTGTGGAAGAGGGAGCACACGTGGGCGCCCCTGGGCGGAGGCGGGGATGGCACCGAGCAGGGGCTGAGCGTGGGGCAGCCCGGCCTTTCTCCCGGCTGTGCCGAGGTGCCCAGCCCCGCCGCACCACCGAGCAGGGGCCCTGCCCCCTGTGGAGGGGGCTCCGGTGTCCGGTCGCAGCTCCTGTACCGTGGCAGTGCCCGGCTTCCAGAGGCGGGTCTCTGACTGGTGTGGGACCGGGGCAGGTGCTGCCAAAGGGCAGGTGGGTGGGTAGAAGGACAGGGGGACGGACAGGTGGACAGGTGAGTGGATGGACAGAAAGTCTGGCAGATAGATAGACGGATGGACGGACAACTGTACAGAGCACTGCCCAGCGCCACACTGTTCCCAGCACCCACCGAGCACCCTGTCCAGCTGTCTGCTGAGGGTCTGTCAGCGGTTGGTGGCTCTGGCCAGCCTGCCACCTCTGTGGTTGGGGTAGACCACTGGCCTGTGGTCCATCCTGGTGACAGAGTCTGTGTGTCCTGTTTGACCGAAGCCAGAGGTGTAGGAGGTGGCTCAGTGTCTCAGTTCAGACCGTCCAGAGAGCGGGGGAAGCCTCGTGGGGCCCGGGTTCCACACGGGGGTGTGGGCGGGTCAGTGTGCTGTCCCTGAGGCCACCGTGTGGTGGTGCACAAGGTAGACGGGCCTCTGGACCCAAGCGGGGGTGGCCAGAGGGCTCAGCGTCGGGGCCTCGGTCTCTTGTGGCCTATGGCTCTCTGCCTCCCTGCAACTGGCCTTGCTCTGGGCTTTGCTCCTGCCCGGGTGGGGGCTCCCGGCCAAGGCCTCAGCCTCCAGAATGTGCTGACCGGTGGGCAGCTCTGATCGGGCGCCAGCTGTCACGGCCCCACAAGCCCTGTCTGTGATGGGGTGGGGG